CTTCATTCTCATTGAATTCTAGGAAGTCTTTAATTTCTTTCTTTATTTCTTCCTTGACACAGGAATGGTGCAATTGCACCATGAGTTTCCATGAGTTTGTAGGGTTTCTGCAATTTGTGTTGTTGTTGAATTCCAACTTTAAAGCATGGTGATCTGATAAGATATAGGGAACACTTGCAATTTTTGTATCTTGTATCTTTTGAGGTTTCTTGTGTTGCCTAGTATGTGGTTAATTTTAGAAAAGGTTCTATGTGGAACTGAGAAGAAGGTATATTCTTTTGTGTTTGGATGGAATAGATGTCTGTTAAATCCAATTGGGACATAACTTCTGTTAGTTCGTTTGTTTCTTTGTTAAGTTTCTGTCTGGTGGTCCTGTCTAGTGGTGAGAGTGGGATGTTAAAGTCTCCCACTATGAGTGTGTGAGATTTTATGTGAGCTTTGAGTTGTAGTAGCATTTCTTTTATAAATGTGGGTGCCTTTGTATTTGGAGCACAGATGTTCAGAATTGAGACTTTGTACTGATGGATTTCTACTATGATGAATATGAAATTACCTTCATCTCTTTTGCTTGATTTTGGTTTGAAGTCTAACTTGTTAGATATTAGGATAGCTACACCTGCTTACTTCTTGGATCTATTTGATTGGAAGATCTTTTCCCAACCCTTTACCCTGAGGTAATGTCTGTCTTTGAGGCTTAGATCTGTTTCTTGTACACAGAAGATGGATTCTGTCTTCATATCCATTCTGTTAGCCTGTGTCTTTTTATAGGTGAGTGAAAACCATTAATGTTGAGGGAAAGTAAGGACCATTGATTGTTAATTCTTGTTTGTTTGTTTTAGATTGGTTGTTGGTGGTGGTATTGTGAGTATATTTGCCCTGCTTTTTCTTTTGGGTTCTGGTAAAGTGGGATTATCTATTGCCTATGTGTTTGTGAGTGTAGTTACCTTCCTTGGGTTAAAGTTTTCCTTCCAGAACTTTTTGTAGGGCTGGATTTGTGGATATGTATTGTGAAAAATCTGGCTTTGTCATTGAATATCTTCTTTTCTCCATCTATAATGATTGAGAGATTTGCTGGGTATTATAGCTGGCGTCTGTGGACTCTTAGTATCTGTAGAACATGTATCCAGATCCTTCTGACTTTGAGAGTTTCCATGGAAAAGTCAGGTGTAATTTTGATAGGTCTTCCTTTATATGTTACCTGGCCTTTTCCCTTCGCTGCTCTTAATATTCTTTCTTTATTCTATATGTTAGGTGTTTTAATTATTATGTCTCGAGGGGTCTTTTTTCTTTGGTCCAGTCTATTTGGTGTTCGGTATGCTTCTTGTATTTTCATAGGCATGTCCTTCTTTAGATTGAGAAAGTTTTCTTCAATGATTTTGTTGAATATGTTTTCTGCACTTTTGAGCTGGGCTTTTTGCCTTCTATGCCTATTATTCTCAGCTTTGGGCTTTTCACATTGTCCCATATTTCCTTGATGTTTTGTATTAAGTATTTGTTGGATGTAATGTTTTCTTTGGTCAATGAATCTATTTCCTCTAGTTTATCTTCAATACCTGAGATTCTCTCTTCAATCTCTTGTATTTTCTTGGTTATGCTTGCATCTGTAGTTCCTGATCGTTTACCCAGTTTTTCTATTTCCAGCATTCCCTCAGTTTGTGTTTTCTTTATTGTCTCTATTTCAGTTTTCAGTTCTTGAACTGTTTGAATTGTTTCCTTCATCTGTTTGATTGTTTTTTTCTTGGCTTTCCTTACTTTCTTTAAGAGATTTGTTCTTTTCTGCATGGGGGGGGGGGGCTTGGTCTTTTCCTCTACTTTTCCTCTATTTCTTCTAAGTTTTTGTTTCTTCTTTCATTTCTTTAAGGCACTTTCTCATATCATCTTTGAGGGCCTCTATTATTTTTATGAAATTATTTTTTTAAGTCATTCTCTTCTGCTTCATCTGCTTTGGTGTGTTCAGGTCTAGTTGGTGTAGAGTTTCTAGATTCTGGTCTTTCTATTGTTGTGTGTTTTCTTGTATTGCCGTCTTCCCATTGCTTCTTCACAAAAGTGCAGGTGGAGTCTGTCTCTCTCTCTACCCTGCACTCCTGGTGGGTGTAGGTGGGTCAGGAGTTTGATGTCTGTAAGTCTGGATGATCCCAGCTCTCTTGGAGGTCTCTGGCAGAGGGCAGACGATGGGGCCCAAAGATCAGATGAGGGCAGCCTCAAAGTGGTCCCAGGTGGATAGGGCAGATCCAGTATGCTCAGAACCAACCCAGGAATTTCCAAGGAGGTGGAAGTAATATTGGATCTGCTCTCTGGCCCAAAGCTCACCCCAAGCAGTGGGCCCAGCAGAGCCAAGGGCCTATGTGTTCATTTTTAAGCTCATAAAATAATGTTTCATCGTGTCTTTTCAAAAATATTTTTAGTGTTATTCATCTTTCCTCGTTCTTTCTCCCTTGTACTACCCTACTTTTCCCTCCCCAGTTTAGTCCTTACCCCCCATTTCTTCCCTTTCCTCCTTCATAGCATCTTTGTCCTATAGCCTCCTCTCTAGAACGCCTCTCTTCATTGCCCATGGTTCCTTTTGCTTTCCTGACTTCTGAGGTTACTCCAAGATTTATATTCAAATACAAATTATAAATTCACAAACATAAGACAACATTGGCATTTGTCTTTCTAGATTACCTTATCCACAATATTCTCCAGCTCCATCCAGTTTCCTGTAAATTGTATGAATTCATTTTCTTTGCAGTTGAAAACAATACCATTGAGTATCAGGATCGTGATTTTATTATATTTGCATCACCTGAAGAACATATAGGCAATTTTCATTTTGTCACTGCTCTCCATATGGGGGCAATTCATATAGCTCAGCATTATCTGTGGAGTAGAATATTGAGTTCTTTGGGCTTATAATGAAGACCTAGCTGGGTCATACAATAAACAAATTTTGAGGGTTTTTTAAAATATAATTCTGCATGCTAATTTGAAGAATGGCTACAAATCCAGAGTGGATTCTAGTCTGCAATGCCACCAACAGTGACTAAGGTGTCACCTCTGCAGACATCTTCGCCAACATTTGTTGCCCATTGTTTTCTTGATCCTAAGCTATTCTGACTAGGATAAGATGAAGTTTCAAAGTGGTTTTAATTTGCATTTCCCTCATTTCTAAGATTGTTGACCAATTTTTTAGATATTTCTTGGCCATTTTCACTTCTAAGAACTCTCTGTCTAGGTCATTGGCCCCTCTTTTCAAATTGGATTATTTCCTTGATCCTTTGTTCTTTGAGATCTTTGTCTATTCTGGATATTAAATTTCTATTAAATATAAATCTGGCAAAAACTCTTTCTCACTCTGGGCTTCCTCTTCACTCAATTGATGGTTCTCTTTGTTATACAGAAGCCTTTTGGTTTTATGAGGCCCCATTTGTCAATTCTTGGCCTTAATTGCTGAGCAAGTGTAGGCCTATTCAGAAATTCCTTTCCTACACTGATATCTTGTAGAGCACTCCCTAAGTTTACTTCTAGAAGTTTCAGCATTGCAGATTTCACGTTGAAGTCTCTGATCCATTTGGAGTTTTTTTTTTCTCCCCCACCCTTTGAGGAGTAATAGATATTGGTCTAATTTCAATCTTCTGTATATAGATATCCAGTTTTCTCATCACTATATGTGGAAGCAATTGTTTTTCCCCAGTGTAGTTTTGCCACCTATCAAATGGCTATAAGTATATGCACTTATGTTTGGGTCTTCTATTCTGATCGACTGACCTACCTGTCTGATTTTTGCTAGTATTATAGCTCTGTAATACAAACTTAAATATGGTATGATAATTTATACAGCATTGTTCTTTTTGGTCAGGATTGCTTAGGCTATCCTGGAACTTCCATATATATTTTAGGGGTTTTTGTTGTTGTTGTTCTATTTCTGTGAAGGATGTTATGGGAATATTCATAGGGATTACATGAATCTGTAAATTTTATACAACGGCAACTTTCACAATATCAATCTGCTAATCCATGAGCATGGGAGTCTCTTCCCTTTTTTAATGCCCTCCTCAATTTCTTTCTTCTCAGCTTTGAAGTTTTCACTGTAGAAGTCTTTGAACTGCTAAACCTAAAATCAAAGTAGAAGAGCCTAAATTCTAACAAAGCCTTTAAATTAAAATTTACAATAAATTTCTATACTTGGCAGTATCATACAATGAATCAGCCAATAAACTGGTCCCAAGCAAGACATTGTGATCTTCTCCTCCTAAAAAGCAATTTAAAAATAGGAATATGTTTGTTCTCCAAGCCACAAAGAGAGAGATGAAGGACAACTCAGAGTACGACTTGTTGGCAATCTTTCCCCAATCCTGAGCCTCATTCTTTGAGCACTGTATCTATTTTGACTGTAGTCCCACAGTGGAAGTTAATGTAGAGTACATAAGATGTAGTTGAATGCTGTCTTAGCGTTTCTAACGATGTGAAGAGACACCATGACTACAGCAACTCTTAAAAAGGAAAAACATTTGATTGGTGTAGCTTTCAGTGGTTTAGTCCAGTATCATCATGGTGCAACATGGTGACATACAGGCGGGCATGGTGCTGGAGAAGTAGCCCAGTGTCCTATCTTGATTTGCAGGCAACAGAAAGTGGTCTGTTTCACTGGGCATAACTGAAGCACATGAGACCTCAAAGCCCACCTCCATAATGACACACTTCCTCCAATGAGACCACACCTACTCCAATAAGGCCACACCTCCTAATAGTGCCACTCCCTTTGGGGGCCATTTTCTTTCAAACCACCACAAGACACACAATGAAAGTCTTTGCCTGGGTATTCCAAATATGGGGCCAGCTTCTAGAGATTCAGCCATGGCCTGGGGCTGAACAGGATGCTGAAAACATGTTTGTGATCAAACACAATTAAACGTGGAAACAGTTCTTCATTATGACATCTTTTTGGAGCCTTGCTATTGATGGTCTAAGAAATCAGACTTCTCAACACCAGCACCCTGATCAATTACTTTGCTTTTTAGGTGATAAAGTCATCATCTTATGCTTACCACAATGTGGAGAATGTAACACCTGCCTCAATTCCAAGAACAATATTTGTAAGGAAGTTAGGTAAGTCATCATAACTATCTTTTTGAATGTCTAATTCAGTTTTACTGGAAGAGATTTCAACTTTTTAATGCAACATAAAGTTTGTTTCCTTTCACCTCTAAAGACTGTCAGGAACACATCTGACGTCTGAAGGCAACAGCAGAATTACCTGCAAAGGGAAGATAGTGTATCAATATATTACTACAGGCACCTTCTCTGAATACATAGTCATAAAGGAAATCTCAGTCGCCAAGATTGACGAAGGTGCTCTTCTGGAGAAGGTGTGCATAATTGGCTGTGGATTTGCCACTGGCTTCGGTGCTGCAATCAACTCTGCCAAGGTGAGGGGCATTTGCACCCATTTTTAAATAGAACTAATAGGATAAGGAGGTGAAACCCCTCTCACATCGGGATACCACCTGGTAATCTACCTGCAAAAGCAAACAGACTTACCTCTAAGCACTGTTAAGTTTCTTAAATTGTTTGATTGCCTCCCCATGCACTTCCTGCCATCTATGACTATAGGTATACAGGCTTTAAACACGACACAATTATAATATGACTATATCTTTCCATATTCCAGTTTGTTTAATTTAACAAACAATGGTAAAAGTTTTCACTATGCTGCTGCTAAAAACTCATCAAGTTTACATTCTAATTTAATAGTATGTCACTTAGTAGTAAATGTTAAAAAGAGAAAGGGAGAGACTGAAAATGTACTTCAAGGACAGAACATAGTCTGCAACCTAGTGTGCACAAGGCCCTGGATTCAATCTAAGTATACCAAATGTCTTAGTTAAGGTTTCTATTGCTGTGAAGAGACACCATGTCCGAAACAACTCTTATATTTTGGGCTGTGAGCCTAGCCTTTAATGGCTGAGCCATCTCTCCAGGCCCCAAGGTAACTCTTACGAAAGAAAATATTTAATTGGGGTGGCTTGCCTATAGTTCAACAGGTTAGGTACATTGTCATCATGGTATGAAGCAAAGCAGCACACAGGAAGACGTGGTGCTGGAGAAGAAACTGAGAGTTCTTCCATCTATACCCACAAACAACAGGACATACCGTCTCACTGGAGATGGTATATATGAGCTCTATGAAACAGCAAAGCCTCATAGCCCATGCCCCACAGTGACACACTTCCTCCAACAAGACACACCCACTCCAACAAGGCCATACCTCCTAATAGTACCACTTCCTTTGGGGACCATTTTCTTTCAAACCATCACAACAAATAAAAATTTAAAAGTATAAGAGAACCAATAGAGAGGTGATTACACTGGCCAGGGAATTTCATTCTGATCAAATGGGCTACAGATAAACTGCTTTGGAATATCATGCTAACCATCCCATCTCAATTTTTTAAGGGGCTTTTGACATTTAAGTCTTTGCATTGTCCACTGTCCTTTAGTCTCAGGGTTACACACAGAGATGGGATATGTCTTAGTCAGCTTTGTGTCTATGACAAGATCCCCATAATAATCACATTGCAAAGAAGGAAGGTTTGTTTTAGCTCACTACCTCAGAGATTTTAGCCTGTGATGTGGTCTTGGGAGATATCTTGGGGCAGTAAGTCAGGACATGGAATGCAGAGTGGGACAAAGATGATCATCTCATGGTACCCAGAATCAGAAAGATTTTAAATGGGAGACAAAAAGAAAGGAGGGCTGGTGTCCTCAAGTCCCCTGAGGGAATATGCCCATGATGTTTTCCTTCCACTGGGCTCCTTCTGCTACTTACTTATATTGTCAAGGGCTGAGGAGTAGGCCTTTATCACATGTGTCTTTAGAGCATGTTCAATGCAAGATGCAAACTATACCAGGTTGGAAGGGGTTCAATTTAAATTGGTGCTACAGTACATGCTGCAAAGGAAGGAAGGAAGGAAGGAAGGAAGGAAGGAAGGAAGGAAGGAAGGAAAGGAAAGGAAAGGACAGGACAGGACAGGACAGGACAGGACAGGACAGGACAGGACAGGACAGGACAGGACAGGACAGGACAGGACAGGAAAGGAAAGGAAAGGAAAGGAAAGGAAAGGAAAGGAAAGGAAAGGAAAGGAAAGGAAAGGAAAGGAAAGGAAAGGAAAGGAAAGGAAAGGAAACCTCCATGAGCAGTGGCTCTGAAATGACTTGGAGTTTTCAGTGGAAAAGAGAAAGGGAAGTCTGCAAGAAGATGGAGGTATTTGAAATAATTAAAAACTGTTTATAATTAAAGAAATACTTTATCCAAATGAATCTTAAGATTCAGTGAAATTTCATTACATTACTTCCATTCATGCTAATTCCATCCTGGAACTTGAAACTGTCCTTGTAGGTAGGTTTTTGTTCCTGTGGTTAAAGTATCACACACCTAGAAACAGCCTGAGAAACTAAAATTTTCTAGGTGTATTTTACTTGAAAATGTCCTGTCCTCCTGTCTCATAAAAAGCAACTGTCTTGTCCTCCCCAAGTCAATGAGGACACAGAGGACTGTGGAGCAGTTCACTGGTAGAAGCTTTCTTCCTAACATGAGACTTGACATCACTCTCTACCCAGAAGGAAAAGTTTATGTTCTTGTTCCTTTGCCTTTGTGTCCAGGTGACCCCAGGCTCCACCTGTGCTGTGTTTGGCCTTGGAGGTGTCGGTCTGTCTGTCATCATTGGCTGTAAAACAGCTGGAGCAGCCAGGATCATCGGTGTAGACACCAACAAAGACAGGTTTGCAAAGGCCAAGACAGTGGGTGCCACTGAGTGCATAGACCCTCGAGACTTTGAGAAACCCATTCAGAAAGTCTTATTTGATATGATGAATGGTGGAGTAGACTTCTGCTTTGAGGTCACTGGAAACCCAGAAACAGTGGTATGTGATCTTTGGAAGTAAAAATTACCAGTATGTTATACCAATTGTTGTTTCGTATTTTAAATGAATGAACATCTTACAATTCCTTCTACATTCCTCTATTTAATTTTCCTTGTGGTCCATGACATGCTCACTATATGATTCTGTCCATTTATTTCCCAACTGAATCTACAAGTCTGCTATTGAGTTTGTTTACCCCTCTTTCCAAAATACTTTTCCTTCAATTAAGCATAAAGGAGCCCCAGTCAGAAATTACATGACCACAGATAGCCTGAAATGACTATAATTTTCAAGCCAGAAAACTTAAGTGAGATAAGGCTCCACTATTGTCATATAGAACAATGAGCTCTTTACTTTCAGTAGAAATCTTTCATGTTAGATGTGAGCTTCCGAACCAAGAAAAGAATGGCCTCATTTGACTAAATGGGTCATTTCCAAAAAATAAAGAAAAAGAGTGGTGGTTTTTCTGCCTGAACAAGCTTAACATATGAAGATAAACATGAAAGGCAGTCACACCAAACTCTGAGGGGAGCTTTCTTTTGGTCTTGAAGGAATGATGCATTATGGCTGCATGGATCCATCTTCCAAGAAGTTACATAGAAAGCCAAGAGGAGTCCCTTCCAACCTGGGTCTTTTTCCCATAATTCAGAATTTCTTATAGACAGAAGAGCTTTTATCCCAGCCTTGTTCTGAGAAATAGCCTTTGAAAATAACTAATGGAAGATAGCAGTGATCACTTTGTTAGCATGCCATATGAAACAATTATGTGACTGACCCTTCTGATATCTAAAAGAAAAACATCAACTCAAACCAACAGCCCACATCACAGTCCTTAGAAAAATTACTGTCATTTTTATTACCACAATGGTCTATAATGATCTCCATCTTTACCCAATTTGTTGAATCCTAAAATGCCAAGTACTATTCTAGGCAGAAACAATATCTTACCTATGTTGTAGAACATCTTCATAATACTGATCATAATTGAAGTCAAAGTTCATTTCGCATGGAGCTGACTAAGAGTGGGTCAAACTCTTAAGTAGGTGATTTTATCTTTTTTTCTGTCTTACATTGCTTTACAACAGGAAACTGCCCTGGCCTCCTGCCACAAGGACCATGGTGTCTGCGTGATTGTTGGATCAATTGCATCTTGGGTTCAAATCAACATTAGTAGCCAGTTGTTCTTCTCAGGACGAACTCTGAAAGGATCAGTTTTGGGAGGTATGTCCAGAAGAAACTAAATACTAAGAATGAGGAGCTAGAAGGAAGAAATAGAAAAATGGCTCAGAGGTGCCTTAAAAAATGCATCAATCAATTCTAGATTGCAGCTCTTGTTTAAAACCCAAGTTAAGAACTGGGTCCTGGCTATGCCCTCTGTCCTTTCATAAGCTTTATTTCATGCTAGGAGGGGGAAAGGAAAAAGATGAGTTTTTTTATTGACTTGTAAAACAAGCAAACAATGCAGAAGTGTCTAGGTGCTGGGGATATAGCTCAGTAACAGAATATTCCATGTCAATTGCTGAAGTCCTAGATTCAAAGCTTCCCAAACTTCAACAGTATTGAAATCAATCACTGTACCCCAGCTTTAAGTTTAAGTCTTCTAAAGTTTTTATATTTTAAATGATGGAAAGTAAAGCATTCCATGAAATGATTTATTTCTCTGGATAAGAGTATTTGCATTTGTCTGTTACTAAAGCACCCTCCCTTTGATAGTATTCCTTGAAAATTATTAATCCATCATTTTTCACATGTTCGAGTTGAGATAGTGACAGCTCATTTCTCTGGAATAAGATATTATACTGCTTTGACAATGACTACTAATAGTTGAAAATATACCTGAAGGAATCCCAGTGGACATTTATATAATTTAGCTGGTGTACAGCTTCTTAATAGTCTCCCACTAAAATAATAAATTGTAGCAAGTATTTTGGCATACCTACAAAAATACTTCATTAGATCACCAATAAAAACAAAAGAAAAATAAACAAGGCTGCAGCAAATAACAATAGTTAGAATTTGTGGTTACATATAGAGTTCAGTTGGAAGAGGTTGGGGCAGTTTTAAGAATAGGTAGAAAAACTAGAGAACCCAATGGAATGAAGAAAGGCAAGCATGAGGATTGCAAAGATGGCTCAGCAGTTCTAAGCATGCCTGTTTTGCAAAGGACCAGAGTTCTTAGCATCCACATGATATGACACTAGCTTCAGGAGATTCAGTATCTCTGGCCTCCTATAGCACCTGTACACACACACACACACACACACACACACACACACACACACACACACACACGGTAGTAGGTAGTAATAATGAAAATAATCTTTTTCTCTCTCTTTTATAAGATAGACTGTGCTATTGAGCACATCTTTATTTTTAATTATTATTTCTTTTTATATGTGTGGCATATTTGTCTATACCACATACATGGCTGGTACCCATGGAGGCCAGAAGAGGGTGTCAGATACCTTGAAACTAAAGTTACAGACAGTTGTAAACTGACCCATGAGCATAAGGAATGGTACCCATGTCCTCTGGAAGAGCATCCAGGATTCTTAACTACTGAGCCACCTCTCCAGTCATATCTTTTTTTTTTCTTCAGAGAAAATCAAGCAGCTAACAAAATCCCATCACAAAGTTATGAGTGGAAGGCACTAGGCAGGATACAGATCACACCCTGCAGCTACACTATGCTTTCCTCTTCCATACAGGAGGCCAGAAAACATTGGTTGTGACTCACTGGCCAAGGTACCATAGATTGTTTGACTTGTCTATAAAGCTGCATGTCAAAACACACAAATACACACATGCACCACATGTGTACGCGCACACTTACACATGGAGGGGGAAGACATTTCTATGCTTTTAGAGCGTGCAGTGCTGAAGATAAAAACTAGAGCCTCATGCACACAGCCACGTATTCTCCCAACTGGAGCACTTCCCCAGCCCCTCCTTCTAACCTTTTCATTCATTTCTGCATCCCAAGACTATGGACTTTGTTATATATTTGGTTTGAATTCACTGATCTACAGAGATTATAACCTAACACCAGGGACATTGCAAGATGTGATGTACTTTCTGTTGGCTTTGATTATGTCTTCTATGTCCAAGGCACAGAGGTTCTTGGGAAGAGTACAACCATGAGTGTGGGCTATCTGGTTGGAATAGCATCTGTCCTGATGGGACAAATTGATGGGAGAGCAAAACAGCTAGTAGTTTAACATGACCTTTCTTTCTTCCTGTCATCCTTCCTATTTTCCTTCCTTCCCTTTTTCCTTAATCTCTTTTCTTATGATTTGAGAATTTCAAATGCATGTATATGGTATTGTCAAATCCACACCCCATCCCCACATGGCCTTTCTTTTATAATAAAACCTCATGAGTAGAATCTTTCATAAACCTGTGTGCTTTTGTGTATCTCCAGGCTGGAAAACCAAGGATGAAATACCTAAGCTGGTTTCAGACTGTATGGCAAAGAAGTTTAACCTAGATCCACTGATTACCCATACCCTGACTCTTGACAAGGTCAATGAAGCAATTCAGCTAATGAAAAATGGGCAATGGTAAAAGTCCTTTCTAATCTGGGTGTGTGTATGGGGACAGAGAGGTTGTCATTGCTACAGATGCTGCACAGACAAAAGATCTCTCAGGAGTTCAAAGCCTCCCCTTGCCCTCCAAATTTTGCTTTATTGCTGATTTATAAAATATGTGATCCTTCAAATACTAAGGTAGCAAATATCTTTAGCATTATACTTTACACAACACAGAACTAAAGATGCCATCCCCTGAAGGTGTGGTCCAAGTTTAGGAACATAGTTTACAGAGCTAAAGAAATGCCTCAATGCCTCTGCAAGCAAAAAGAAAAAAGAAAAAGAAAGAAAAAGAAAGAAAGAAAGGAAGGAAGAAAGAAAGAAAGAAAGAAAGAAAGAAAGAAAGAAAGAAAGAAAGAGAAAAGCGAAGAAAAGCACCTGCCACAGGATGAACATCTAATCCCGGCATCTACTTAAATGTGGTTGGAGGGAACTGGCTCCACAAGGCTGTCCTCTGTCCTCTGCCTTCCTTATGCACACCTTGGCTCATGTCTATTCTCCACTCCTCTCCAGAATAATAAGAACATGGAAAGAAATATTGAGCCCATTTTACAAAGAGGCCATTTTTGTCATTGTCACAGTTTTATTTCTGTGTGGGGCCTGTCTATAAGATTACTAATTCTAACACCTCTTTAATCTCCCCAAGAGAAATTAACCATAAATGGAATCAGCATTTTTCACAGTTTAAAACTCCTCACCTACTTTAGTACCCTGAGAACTGCATGCTATTTTGTTCAGTTTTCTCGAAGTTTGTTAACCTGCCCATTTTTTATCCAATCTCAAGGGAAGACACTCTAGCTTATAGATCTAAAGCACAAGGATTTTAATCCAAAGCATATGTTGCTCCAGAAATTGATTGATGTTTTGTTTTTCTTTTTCCTTTTTTGTAGTATCCGCTGTGTCCTGTTACCTTAATTACAAGACCTGAAGCATTTCATCACTAACTTGCATTCTGTATTATTGTTATTTAGAAGAATCAACCACACAACGCTTTCTACTTCCTTGCCTTTCTACTCACTCAGCAACAATCTTGTATCAGGCTTCTCACCTGACCACACCATCAAATGCCACGACCCAGTGCCATACAGGACCAGCCTCCCATTTACAGCCATACTGAGGTTGATTTGAACCACCCAATAGCACATTCTGCAGATGAAGGCATACCAAGATGCTCCAGTGGCACAGCTGCCTCTACGTCTGGACCCACATTTCCTCACCCACTCATCTTCCCCACACTGGATGGATCTACACATGAATCTCTGTATATTGTCCACAAGAATCAGAATTCCCACCAGAGAAGCTACTGAAACTGATAAACAACTGAGCAAACTTTTAGGTCGCAAAACCAACACACAAGAATCAATAGTGTTGTTATATGACAATAGCAAGTTGCCTGATATGGAAATAAAAGAAGCAATCTCACAATCACTGCGAGACTGATTTCACAGATAAATTAATTAACTAGGAACAAATTTAACCAAAGGTTAAAGATCTCCACAATAAAAACTATAAAACATTGCAGAGTGTAATGGTGTGCTTCTTTAATCCAAGCACCTTGGTGGCCAAGGAGGGCCAACCTATGTGAATCCAGGGCAAGACTGCTCACATAGCAAGTGCTACATAACTTGATCATGATAAGATCATGTCTTAAATATATATGCATATTTAAATATATACAAACAACGAAAAAACATTCTTCATGAATTCATGAATTAGAAGAATATTGTGTAAATGTCTATACTACCCACAGGGGGTCATAGGAATCATGGATGATGAAATCAGAGGGCCATGCTGAGCCAGCCCACCCTTTCTGGCCCTGGAAAAGCTGGCCCTGCCCCTCAGTGGAAACTGCAGCAAGGCCCTAATCCTCACTGGAGAGCTGTTCCCCTTCCCCCACACTTGGTACCACCCCTCACCACAGGCTAGGGCAAAGTGACCCTGATGGCATGGATCCAGTGCTCTCTGCCTGAGGCAGGGTGGCCCTAATGGCTCAACTACCACCCAGGCCTACAGCTGGGCCTTGGATTGGTCCTCCCTAACATCTACCCCATCTAGGGATAGTAGTTCCCATGAAGGGAGTAGTCCCATGGAAAGATACCCACATGATCTCCATGACTCAGATGGCTTCAGGATATCTGGGAGGAATTTAGGTGAGCATCCACTCATGATGCTGTACCAGAAACCAGAGGCCTTGAAATCAGACCAAAAGTCATTGCAATGAATATTTGCAAGTAAAGCTGATTACACAAAAAGGTAGACTGTGTACACACCATGGCTCCCAATGTCACTAGGAGGAATGCAGAAGTGTTGGAGAGTCAGGAAAGACAGAGGAGTAAAGAGGGTTTATTGGTTGGTTTTTTTGGTTTGGTTTTTTTTTGGGGGGGGGGGGGGGGTTGGTCTTGGTTTTTTTTTTTTTAATTTGGTTTGGTTTGGTTTGGTTTGGATTTTTTAATTTTCATTTGTGGGGGACACTACAGGAGTAAGAAGCAGATAAGCAGATACAAATTGAGGTACATGATGTGAAATTCCCAAGAAGGAATAAAGAAATTATGTTAAATATTCTTTTAAATTTTTAAAATATCTATACCACACAAAAATATCTACAGATTCAATGCAATCTTGCCATAATTCTTATAATATTCCTCACAGTTAAAAATAACCTTCACATCTGTATGAAACCCAGAAAAAGCAAGTAGACAAAATAGTTCTAAGTAAAAAGTACAAAACAGGGGCCATTATACTCCAAAACATGCTACTGAGTCCTAGTAACACAGCAGCATGGTATGGCAGCAAAAACCAGAACCATAGACCCACAGAGACAGACAGAGTGCCCAGAAAAACGAAAGCATGTGCAGTGAGCAGATAAGGGGTGGCCAAGAAGATGCTCTGGATGAAGAAGGCTCTTTTCAATTGATGATCCTAGGGAGTTTGATGGAAAATAAGTTCTTTTTTCTCACATGTTAAAAAAAAAATAAAATAAAGCTATACTGCCCCTTCTCTTGAGCCAGGATGAAAATCAACTCTAAGAACACTGAAGTCTTCAGTATCAGGACTAAAACTACTAAACTACTATAAGAAAACATAGGGCAGTCCTCTCCACCATCGTGCAGCACACGCCTAACTCAGATTCTCACCATGTCTTCTCACAGGACTTTCAGAATCAAGCGATTCCTGGCCAAGAAACAAAAGCAAAATTGTCCTATTCCTCAGTGGATTCAGATGAAAACCGGAAACAAAATCAGGTACAACTCCAAGAGAAGACACTGGAGTGATGGGAGATGCCATTATGTATGTTTCTCATAGTGGTTAATGAATAAAGCACTGTTGGCCAATAGGAAAGGAAGATAGGAGGGACTAGGAGACAAGGAGGAAAGAGGAAGTAGTAAGGAGGAGCCAAAATGGAGAGTCGGGAGAAAGCAGTATGCAAGAGAAATACATAGATCAGCAGAAATGGGTTAATAATTAAGACAGAGCTAGCTGATAAGAAATAAGTAACCAGGCCAACAGCATTATATCAAATACAGAGTCTCTGTGTATTAATTGGGGCAGGCGTGGTGGCGGGACAAGAGTGGCGGCAGGCAGAAAAGCCATACTCCTTACACTGGAGGAGAACCAAGCTGGGCCTGTAAGGAAGGATTCACACAATGGCAAGACAGAGTTTGTACTGAATCATGGTCAACATGATCTATCTGCCAGGTGGATGGATATCAAGATTATTAAGCTGCAGATTTGGTCATGCTTAAATTGGGAATGATTTGTCCAGTAATAAAAAATATAATATGGAGTCTATCAAAAGAAAAAAAAAAAGAAAACATAGGGCAACAGTTCTGGACCTTGAGATGGACAAGGAATTGTTGGACCACACCCCACAGACACAGGAAAGAAAGCAATTAGACAAATGGGATACAGCAGTCCAAGAAGGGCTCTGTAGAGCAAGGGAAGCCATTGCCCAAGTAAAGAGTCAGCATGCGGTCACAGGATGGAGCTGCAGTAAGGACAGCGGGAAGTGCTGCTGTGCTGTTAACAGCTGTAAAGTGAAGGCAGATAACACATTGTGTATTTCAAGTAATTCCAAAAGAAAGGGTTTTCAGTGTCATTCTCATAGAGAAACGACTTTTCAGGAGAATGTTTACAGTGATGTAACATCCTAAAGCATATATATGCTCTGTGATTATGTGTAACTTTATGCTTTTATGCATCAGTTAAAAATAAATTGAAGATGCTTAAGAAATTTCTCAGTGGTTATGAGCCCTTGCTGCTCTTTCTGGGAACCAAGGTTCAGTTCCAAACACCTACATGGCAGCTCACAACCATCTATAACTCCAGTTCAGGGGACCCAGTGCCCTCTTCTGGCCTCCGTGGACACTGAATGCACGCAGTACCCAGACATACATGCAGGCAAAACACCCACGCACCTAAAACAAAACTAAATTTTTTTAAATAATAGAAATGGAAATACATTAATTTTTAAAATGAAATAAAGCTCCCTGTCTTAGTTACTTCTGTTGCTTTGATAAGAAACCTTGACCTTTGAGATGCTTGCTCCTTGCACTTTAGGGAGGGAGGTACCATCAGACGTATCGACTCTGAGTGATAGAAACATCTTCTCCATCTTCCCACATCTAAACTAGAAAGCTACACTCACTCTGTCCCTGCTTTCCATTTCAAACCAGCTTCCTGCCTACTCTGACCCTGAGACAAACTTAGCAACAGTGAGAACTTGGAGGAACCTCATCATGTTGGAAAACTGGAATCTCCAAGAAAGGAGTTAATGAAGCCCAATTTACAAGCTACTTTGAATATCTCTTAACAACTTTCTCCTCTCCTTTTGAGGCAAACTTTCACTGTGCAGCCCAGGTTGTCCTTGACCTAAAATTCTCCTGCCATAACCTTCACTGTACTGAGGTTACAGGTGTGGGCTATCCCACTCTGTTTCCTTATGCCTTCTTTAAGTACCTGTTCATGGTGGGGCTCATTGAAAACTTCTAATTTTATCATAAAAACAGCATCTCTGTATTCATTCTGATCAATACCTGATCAAAAATGTTACACAAGTAATGGCTCTCTACATCAGTACATAGCTATTCACCACTGTTGCTAGCTGAAGGCCACACTCAACTTCCAGGGTAGGGGCCTATAAATCTGTGTCCTGCCTCTAAGCCCCATCACTTCAGCCACATTGAATGGCCCTGTCCCAACCAACAAGTAAAACACATATTTGCAATTTCTAGGCATAGTACTTCCCTGGGCAGTGACTGCATGGAGTGGTTTGTGGCCTGTCCCAAAGCTTACCTAATTCCAGACCCTGGACAGTGACTACACAGGGTGGTTTATGATCTTACCTCATCCCAGACCTTCACTATAAGTAGGTATCCAGCTTCTAAATACACCCTGCATAAATCATTCAAAGTTTTGAATCTCTTCCACTTTTTATATGAAAGAACAGTTATATTGTTAGCTATCACTCAAATCATAATAAAGTATATATAAAATATAGAGGTTCTCCTCTGAAATACAGTGAGTAGGCAAATGCTGGGCTGTGGAATTGCATTTATGTTTTGGAAATGTTCCCTAATAACTTGGAAATGAAGCCATCAGTTCCTGCATATTATATTCACAAGGAATTCTTTATACTAATGTACTACAAGCTGCTGGAAATATTGTTTTCCTTTTATTGAATATAAATATATCCTGGCTATAGTTTCCCCTCCCTCTACTCCTCCCAGTTTCTCCCCACCTCCTCTATCCTCTGGATCCCCAAACAGGCTTCCAAGAGATAACAACCAAACATGATAAAAAAAAATAAATAAATAAAACATAATACAATGAAGGTAAAACTATCATATAGAAGTTGGACATGGCAGCCGGGTATTGGTGGAGCACACCTTTAATCCCAGCACACGGGAGGCAGAGGCAGGTGGTTATCTGTGACCTGGTCTACAAAGCTAGTTCCAGGACAGTCTCCAAAACAATACAGAGAAACCCAGTCTCGAGAAACCAGAAGAAGAAGATAAAGAAGAAGAGGAAGAGGAAGAAGTTGGACAGGAAAAGAGTCCTAAGAGCAGGCACAGGGTTGAAGACCCACTTGTTCTCACAGTCAGGTGTCCCATAAAAATACTGAGCTACAACATCCTTATCCATCAGGGAAATGCAAATCAAAACAACTCTGCGATACCATCTTACTCCAGAATGGCTAAAATTAGAAACACCAATGACAGCTTATGTTGGAGAGGATGTGGAGAAAGGGGAACACCCCTCCACTGCTGGTGGGAGTGCAAATTCGTACAGCCATTTTGGAGATCAGTATGGCTGGTCCTCAGGAAAATGGGAATCAGTCTACCACAGGACCCAGCAATTCCCCTCTTAGGCATATACCCAAAGGATTCACATCCATGCAACAAAGACATCTGTTCAACTATGTTCATAGCAATATTTATTTGTAATAGCAATAACTGGGAAGCAACCTA